TATTAATGATGAGTAGTGATCAATATCAATGTAGAGTAAAAATTTTTGTTTTTGAAATTATCTTTTGATGCAAAATTGATTGATTGTGAACTTCTGCCTGTGTTCTACTACTATAGAAAACTTTTGGTAAAAAAGTCTATCGGAAAGATTCAAATATGTTGTCTAATTCATGAACCATGGAAAACATAAGTCAAAATATTGACGATTATACTTGTATTATGATCGATTCTTTTGTCAATACTGAAAATTAGACGAACGAACGATCTTTGTCGGCAGATACGAAAAATACTTTATTGTATTCGCTTTTCTTTCTTACTTGTCTGGTTGTCTATATGAGTTACTTACTATTCAGAAAAATATGATGTCTTCTACTTAAATGCATTTGTTAAAGTTAGGTTATAAAGTCAATCTATAAAATACATTACATCTCAATGAGTTTTTCTATATTGTTGTAGAAACGGTTATGATGTATTGACTGCTCTATCCTATTGTTTTCAAATAAAATCATATAACAATAATTATCTTATATTTTCTAATTGAAGTTTATGAAGATGCAAAGCTTTTGTTCGAATATAGTTAACTATAGAGAAAGTAATTCTTTTGGATTGATCAAACAAAGAACATAACAATAATGATAGATAAGATTTATTGCCATGATCAACACGTAATGAATGAGCTTCAAATGTCTCTTTATGCGATAATATATAATTTGTGGCAAAATACCTATGAAATTTATTATCGAAACTCATTAAGATATTATAGATAGATTTCAGATTCCCAACCAGGTCACTAGGTCTGCCTGCCTGTGCCAAGTAGGCCAGGCCGCCTAGCCTATCTACTTTTTCTTCGATATGAAAAATTTGTCGAATGAATTGAATTTAATTCAAGAAAAACAAATTTAGTTGAGTAGTTTTGCAGGATGACATTTAAATATGACGAATTAGATAAATGCTTGAGAATAAATATTGAAGATATATGTAAACAATGAAATCTACTGTCAATATGATGAGATTCTCAGCAGAAAAGAGGAGCTCAATAGTCGATGAAAATTTCCGATGGAAAGATTTTTTTTAAGAAAATTATTAAATAAGAGTTTCGAAAGTGATCGCTGGTAGAATTCGCTCTCTTGCAACTGTTTACACTGTACTCAGATCGTTTGAAATAATCAATTAGTGTATTATGTCTGACTGTTGATGATAATCAGGTCTATTTAATTATCAATATGGTAGCGGACTAAACTAACTTTCATATAGTTTGATAAGGACTTTTAAGCTATTCGAAATGTTAAGTGAATATCGGAGAAAAAATAAATGATCAGTAAAAAAAACACCCGAAGGAAACATTTCTCGAGACATGATTTGAGTGTCTTTGACTGATATTTGGTAGATTTCAATCATAAGTACAGTTTGGATAGACACCAAAATCATCTAGAGAACCACCATTCAACAATAAGCAGACTAATGAAAATTTTCAATCTTTTTATCGACCTTCTATCATCGAAAAAAGCACCCAAGTACCCACCAAGATTAAGTCAAAATATGAATTGCATCAAAAAGTAGTTTCACTAATGGAAAAGAATTCTAAGGCTGCACAATGACACTAGAACAAAAGATAGCGTTTGTGTAAGCCATCAGAAACACTCTTAGCGAGTTTCATTTTTTTTGACCTAATCCGGGAAAGACTGGGTGACTTGTCAACGATAAAAGGTCGATAAAAAGATTCAAAATTGGCATAAGTCTACTCAGTGTTAAATACTGATTCATAAGATGATTTGAGTTTTTACCTAAGCTGTACTTCTGATTGAAATCTACCAAATACCAGTCCAGACCACTGAAAATCATATCTGAAGAAGTATCTTTTCGTCGTTTTTTTATCATTTCAGAGTGCTTAAAAATCACTGTCAAACTATTTGAAAACTAGATTGATCGATCACTATAACGATAGTTAAATAGATCAAATTATTATCGACGATGGGATATAGTATGTTTATTAACTATTTCAAACCATATGAGTACAGAGTTAATACGGACATTAGGGCTAATTCTGCCAGCGATCATTTTCGAATTCGTCATGTAATAGTTATGCACAGAAAAAAAAGTAAAATTTTACTAGGAAGTCTATTTCCTGACATGTTGAATCATCTTTTCCACGTTTACCATTACTTGCTCTGAACCAGTTTTTAAACCCCAGTTAATTTAGTTGAAGTTGAACGGTCTATTTTTGTTTTAGATTTAGTAGTTACTGCACGTGTCTCCTCTCTCGCTTATAACACTATGAGTGACATTTGTCTGTCAGATTTTTCGACAATATATTTTTGAAGAGAAAACAGATTGTTTTTCTCAATATTAATGTGTGGCTGTTTCTTTATTTTCCTCGACACTTATATTTTTCACTTCATATTAAATGTAGAGTAAAATTTTACACCATCACCGTCTCTCCAAAGTGAACATCTCATTATAGTGAATAATCTGAATTCATGCTGAGCCATTTTTGTTCAAAGTCAATCATTTCTTAGTGAAAGCCTCCTGATAATGGCATATGAATGCTTTTTTTCTGACTTTGAACAACTTCAAAAAAAGTTTCCGGTGGTCAACTTTATTTTGTTCTACTCCTTTTCCTATATCCTCTGTTGCACAGATAAGAGAGAATCATTTCTGTATAGTGAATACTTTTAAATATTTTCTTGAATATTCACATCAGAAAATTTTTACGTGTGTCATCTAAACTGATTCCATTAACCTGCTGGACTTTCTATGAAGACTAATGCTTAATTATATCATAGTAGTATAATTATGTCGGCTTAAAAAAAACTAGACAGGCCTTGCTAGGTTAGGTCGAAGAAAATAACAGGCAGGCCAGGCCTACAAAACGTCGGCTTGGTTCAACTTCTGATAGGTCTATCGTTGATCAACTTGTTTTAATCGATTGTGACTTGGATACTTTGTTCTGAGAGAAACAACAGTAACTGAGATGCATTTTTTTAAATATGCATATTATCCTCCGATGAGACTAAATAAAAATGAAATCTCGTCATTGATACTAATATTAAAATAGTTGATGCTATTATTCAACCCGGCATTAATACATTATTAATGTTTATTTGTTCTTAATAGAATATTCAGATGGCTCAGCTAATATAAACATGATAATGATGCTTGTCTGTATCTAAATATATATTCTAGTTGTTTTTCTCATCATTGACTCATCGGTTGTCTTTTATGTGATGAATGGTAAAATCGAATTGAGTTGAATTTTCTTAAACATTTCTATGGTTATCTTAATAAGTAAATTATTGAACTCAATGAAGAACGATCTATCTCAATTGGATAACATTTTGATAATTTTATGCATGACAATGTTTACATAGATTTTGTAGTCGATACATTTATCTATGCCGATCGATAAAGCATGAGATGATATTTTTTTAAATTTTGTTAGTTCTGAGAAATATTTTAAATGAAAATTGTAGAAAATGATCATAGACAACGTAACAATAAAGATAACTAGACTAGAACCATTCTGGATGTCGAACATTTTCAAAAGACTACCATCGATTGTCTTACAAACAACCAAGAGAAAAAGTCGATTTCATCATTTTATTCATTTCGAATGATATCTAAAATGATTGTGACTACTCTAATGAAGAGGAACAAATGATTGTTATCTTCCGAAGTAACTTATAATGGGAAAATCATGAACTGTGAGTCATTAGTCAAGCAATAACTATTTGAACAAATCGCGATTTTTTATAAAGTTTGATCAAAAATATTCATGATTGAGGAATTGAAATCTGAAATCGATAATGTATATTAAGTGTTCTAAAAAAGGTTTCATTTCACCAATAAATCAAGTAAACAAATTCGAGAAACTGATTATAAATTTGAATTGATGGAACCTGGTCAAAAACCTTTCATAACACTATATAATGTGTAAATGATTTGGAAAAGTATTTAATTGATAATCTCATAAGTTATTGCTTACTGGTAACTTGCCAGTTGTAATATTTACTATTAAGATTAGCTAGAACATTTTTCTGTATTACTCAAACAAAACAAAAGACTGATTTCAAGTAATTGAATTGATTTATGAGATTGATTACCTTTTCAAATGACTGAATGCACAAAAACAAAAGATCTATTCGAAACAAAACTCGATATTTTATATTATAGAAATTGAATTAAAAAATCATTGTGAAAAACAACAAATTTTTCTTACTTTCTAAAAGAATAGATGTAAGAAGCAAAAAAATTTCCATTGTTCTTATAAGTAGAAGTATAGGTCAAGATTGAATTTTAAAAAAAAGAAAATAAGAAAAATAATTGTTCTGATAAGATATATTCATCAATGAATAAAAAAGATCTTTTTATGTTACTATTGATAAAAATAATTATTTTATGAAATAAATGTGAATGATACTAGCAAATTATATATATTTTAACAATTAGAAAATATTGTTTAAAAGAATTTCTTTATATAAAGTTCTTCTTTTTATTTATTTTCGAAGAAAAAAAATTTAACGATATAAAACGAAACGAAATAAATCATTAAATATCTTCATTATTTTCTTGTTGTTGAATCGACAATAGTTTCATATATGCATTTCGGATGAACACTTTCATAGAGATTCATAAATACAGTATCTTGTGAATTAAATATTCCATCAAATAGACATTTCATATGACTATGTGTACCTTTATATTAAAATAAATCTTATCTTTATATTTAATTAATAAATAACAATACAGAATTTAAAAAAACATATATCGAGTAACAGATAATCTTTTATGAATTTTAAATGGATGTCCACTTAATAATAGTCTTTTTAATATAATACGATCATGATTAACTGAAAGAAGAGAATCAGTTGCTACTAATTCTTGACGACCTTTATCTAACAAAAAGCAAAATTAAGTTTTTTTTTTTAATTTAAAAGATCGAATAAAATACCATCAGGAAATTGTTTAAATGCCAAAATCGATGCAGGTGGATATGTTATTGGATCAAAACATGTTGCAACAAGAGTTTGTCGTGACCGAAAAAGTCTTTCAAACTAATTTAAAATATTCTTATTTATATTAATTATTATTATAATCAATTAGTAACAAACTTTATGTTTATCTGAATTTGAATGTTGAGAATAAATCGGTGAACTTGAAAAATGACGAAAACCAACATGAAATATAAGACGTTCTTTTGATTTAACAATTATTTCACTGTCATTTGTACGATTTAAGACAATATTTAATACAGATAAATACTGTTCATTTGGTAAAAGACACGTTACAAATAATAGATGAGCAGGTTCTTTAAAAAAAAACCAATAACAACAAGTTTTTTTTCTCGAATATTTGTTTTTTTATAAAAAAATTTTTCTTACCAAATCTACTGATGGGCACATTTTACATAAAGAGTTATATAACTATGCACCTGTAACAAATATACAAATTAAAATAAGTATTTCATCAAATAAAATCTTTAGAAAAAAAAATCTTCGGTAAATATAATTATTAAAAAGTTAATTACATTTATATAGAATACAAAACTTTTCTTCATTCTTAAATATATGAAACATTGAAAATCTACCTGCACGAAATCATAAATTTCAACATCTATCGATTATAATCAGACTATTACTCTCTAACCTTTCTTTTTTTTACTGTTAAGCTCAGTCAAAAACTTATCTTTTGCTTCAAAATTGAATAAAAAGATTTATTCGAAAAAGAAATGAAAAAAGTCGTATAAGATGCTCAGATTTTGATTTAAATAAATTATGAATTATCGATTTGATCAATCATAAAATTTGTTCTTTGATCAGAAACGAACTCATTTAGAAAAAAGCAATTTATTATTTGTTGACTAATGATGATAGGTCACTGTCAAAAACACTTTTTTTCTTCTTTTCAATTCTGATCAACAACATTATTCAACATATTTGCATTTAAGAATAAAACCAATTTTTTTTCAGAAATCTACAATTATCAATTTATCGTAGAATATTTAGATTTTAGTTGGAGAAGACGATCGCAACTACTTTCAACAAATCTTATTGAAAGTAATCGGATAGATTATCTTTTACGAGTATTCGCACTTAATTAGATATAAACAATGTTAGCGTTTAGATTTTGGTAAATAGAGACGATCGTAGTTCTGCTGAGAAAAATTGATAAAGAATTGTTAAGGAAAAAACAATCACTCCGCATTTCTTCTCTCTTTATCTGACAATCAGATAAAACTTCGATGATTAATAAATGTCAATGATGACAAAACAAATTCATTGTCAACATTATTAAATATTTGTTTCTTTTTTATGAAAACCTATTCAAAATAAATTTAAATATAAAACCCACTCTAGAAGAATAGGAAAATGCACAAAGAAATATTTCTATATGATATGCACATAATCATTTCTTACGAATAATTTTTAAAAAATTCTTCAATAAAATCTCTTGATGAATTAATTG